CAATTTTAGCCTCTTTTTGGGGGTGCTCAAGCATCCCTAAATTGTAAATCAACACACCTGAAAAATAAAGAAACCATCATTAAGATTGAGTAAGGAAACAGTTCTCAAATCTTAGACTCACCAAGGTATTGAATAAATATGGAAAAAAAAAGTGGAATAAATAGCAACAGTCTTAAATGGGCCAGTAAAATGTTTTTTGTTTTTTTTTGCACGAGTCATGCCATCTGTCAATCAATCCAGTTGGCACGTCAGCAACTGACAAATTGACGACCTTAATTTGTCCTGAAGTGAATGCCCCTTACCTGAAGAGCTGCAGCAGTTTTGCATTGAGAATGTCTTGCAGTCATAGAGATTTAAATGACGGAGTTTACATCTTTTTTCATGTTAATCTACTGTAATAAACCTTTGTAAAATACACCAGAATGCAGGAAATGGCATCTACTTTATTTAGAATTCTCTGGGGGGGGCCCCCCCCCCCCCCCCCACACACACACACACACACACTCCACCACCACCCCAGCCTGCCCTCTATTTGCATTCCAGCATAATTTGGTTTGCAAATTAAGCCCTGCCGCTTGGACACCTAACTGTCCTGAGCTGCACCCCTTACTGATGAAGTACCGTCTGAAAGTCTGCTAGAAGATGTGAAATCAACTAAGTATCCCTACTGACTCTCACAGAGACCAATAAGCTGCGTTCCTTGGAGACAAAAAACAAAAAGATAATGAAAAGTGTAACAAGTTATTACCTAATATGCAAGTATTTGTTTCATTTAGTCAAAAACAAATGCACTCTTTTACACATCTAACTTGTGACGCAGCAGAGTTGAGCTGAGGACACTTAAAAACAAAGGCTACACGCCCACTGTGATCAGGAGACCACAGTGGACGTGTGTTGGAGCAGCGTTTAATGAATGAAGGTAGTATAAGTTGCCCTGCACATTCCTTTCCTGTGTAAATGATTTTGAGTTGTTTCCTCTGCAGTTCAGCTGAGGACAGGGGAGCTATTAGAATGCCTTTCCAGGCCATAACTGCGGTCTCACGCTGGGTCACAACTTACGCAGGCGGATTGTTTGTTCTTGAAGCAGATAAATTATTTTCATATTTATTCGTGTGCAGTGAAAATAAAAAAACAAATATAAAGCCTTGTTAATCTGGAACTTGCCAATCTTACAGCTTTCTTGTTTCCTTTTGGAGAAATTCATTAAAACATGTCCAGGAGTTCATGATAATTTGCTGACAGAGGTGATGCCGTTGAGTTGTTGTTTTTTTGGTCAAAGTTTTAAGCAAAACGCTGTGCTATGTGTAGAGCCCTAAGAACGTGACAAAGATGACTCTCAGCTACTATCACACAGAATTTTAACTCACAATCTGTGAAAAACAACAATCTTTAGTGACATCTGACCAGTGGGTGAGTTTGTCATCACATACAAAACAACTTTCAAACTTTGTGCTTGTTTGAAGTAATTTTATGAGAGAAGATTAAGAAAGAAGATTTTGATATCAGTTGCCTGGTCTCAGCTGTCACCTAACAATAATAAAAAGTTGTAGATTAAACCCATAGAGCTGTATATAACCACTAGAGGGCGCAGTGGTCACGTGACCTTGTGATTCACTGCAGCAACTGCAGCCATTACCAAAACGGTCAAATGTCTGCACTCGGTAAACCCTGAAGGGTTCTGTTAAAAGATTTTGGGACACTTGGCAGCCTTTCATGTTGTTTGTGGAAAACATACAATGCTTGTTTGATTTATATGTGTGTGTGCCTGAGCTGGTGTGGGAGGGGGTTTTCTTATTTGTGTTCTTCTTGTTTGTTTGTTTGCTCCAAATTCAAAAACTCAATAAAACGACTTCCATCCATCCATCCATACATCCATCATCTTCCACTTGTTCCGAAGTTGGGTCACGGGGGCAGCAGCTTGAGCAGGGAGGTCCAGACATCTCTTTCCACAGCCACCTCTTCCAGCTCTTCTGGAGGACTCCAAGGTGTTCCCAGGCCAACCGAGAGACATAGTCTCTCCAGCGTGTCCTGGATCTTCCCCGGGGTCTCCTCCCAGTCGGACATGCTCGAAACACCTCCCTAGGGAGGCGCCCAGGGAGCATCCTCACCAGATTTCATGATAGGTGAGGGTAGGAACATAGATTGACCAATAAACAGAGAACGTTGCCTTACAGCTCAGCTCTCTCTTCACCACAATGGACCGGTACAGAGTCTGCAGATGCTGCACCAATCAGTCTATCAATCTCACGCTCCATTCTTCCCTCACTCATGAACAAAACCCCCTGTTCATGAGTGAATAAAAATACTTTGATTAAAAAAATGTCTGCACTCAATGTTTTGACAAAATAGCCTTAAGGGCTGACAGGAGCTGCTTTGCCATCAATAAGGCAGATCCACTCAGCTCTCGTCTTATCGGTTCTTCTCAGGTGGAGGCGATTTACCACTGTGACTTGTTTCCTCGCTCTGTGGGCAGGATTGTCAATGCAAAGTGGGCAGTATCGTAACAGGTCATTGAGCCACTGCGCCCGTTGTGGTCCTTATAGTCGGACTTCAATTTTTTTTTTTCTTTCAGCTGCTCCCTTCTTCAGGGGTCTCCACAACAAACTAACTCACACTAAGACTTGATTGTTTTTACTCCGGATGTCTTACCTGACACAACCACAAACCACTGAGCTACCACAGCCCTCTGTGTGGAGAGTTGCCATCTAGGGTGCCCGGGGGAGCAGATTGTGGGAGTTAAGGGCCTTGCTCAAGGGCCCAGAGTGGGGCAAATGAGGGTGGAGACGGGTGTGGGTGTTTCATCTTTCCCACCCATATTTTGATGTTATCAACCTGGGGAGTTGAACCCCAATCGAACTATAATCGGCCTTCAGTGTCTTTAGCTTATCCTGGCACTGCTTACAAGTCCAGGTGTAGCCATGCTGCACCATCAGCTTCGAAATCTGTATGTAAATGTGATCATTTCTCGTCACGCTGTCCATCAACACAATCAGAGAGGAAGTGGTTCAGATGTGGTTTCCAGTTTTTCTCAATTTTCCTTATATAACATCTATCTGCTTTATATGATTGTTGTATGAAATTCACATTATATTTTATAAATTACATTAAGTTATTGTAAAGTTATTAATTTATGACAGATCCAGTTGGGCTTGCTGTTTAACAGTTTTATTGGCTGGCAGCATTTGCTCATTTTGGACGCCATCTTGGTTTCTCCACAATATCACAAAACAATGGGAGGGATGGGCAGAGTGCGCTCTGATGATTTATACAACTGAATAAACCAGATCCAGGGACAAACAGGTTAACAGATGTATTTTGACTAAATATTCTTCAGCATGTAGTAAGGTGCACTGAATTCTTTTAGTTTAGTCGATCGTGTGAAGGTTTTTAGTCAAAAGTGCAGAGACTCTGTGTGAAATTCTGTATTCCAAAGATTCTCTTCACGGGATGAAGATTGAGAAGGATTTTATTTCATCCATGTTTCATTTAAATTTAGTTATCAAACAAATGAAGTCAAACTTTACCAAGCCCATCTAATGTGATGTACCTTAAACCCACACAAAGATGAAAATTAGAATTCCTGTAGCTCATTTGAAATGGTTCAAGTTTAGGCATACAGTCAAGCTTTGTTAAGACATTGTTCTTTAGGCTTTATCGTCTTATCGGTTTATTGGAGTTATTGGATCGGATTATTAAGCATGGACATTTTTATTTGTTCTTTAGGCTGTTCCCTCTTCAGGGGTCATTACAGCGAGTCATCCTCACCCTGTCCTCTGCATCCTCTGTCCTCACTCCAACCACCTCCATGTCCTCTCTAACTGCATCCATATATCTCCTCTGTCTTTCTCCTGGCAGCTGCATTTCTAACATCCTTCTACCAACTGTCTCTCTAACTTTATCTCCCAGTTGTTCAACCTGTGTTGTACCTCTGATGATCTCATTCCTAATTGTATCCATTCTTGTCACTCCTAAGGAGAACCTGAACATCTTCATTTCTGCTACTTCCAGTTATTTATCCTGTCTTTTTGTCCATGTCTCTGTCTCCAGACCATACAACGTAGCTGGTCTCACCACTGTCTTGTAAAGTTTTCCTTTGTAAACTTTTCTCCATCCACTCCATCCTGCCTGGACTCAGCTACACCATCAGCCTAACAATGGCTCATTATAGGCTGATGGTCCTTCTTGAGCATGTGATCAGTTGGTTTTGGTTGTCAGCAGCAAAACTGGTTGATCCACTCTAAGAAGGTGCTATTTAAGAGACTGAGCTGAAAACAGCACCTCAGACTGAGGAAGTCTCTCGGATGAGAGACGAAACGTTTCTATATTTTTTTGCTTCGTTTTGTTTTTTGTTTTTTTGAATGTCCAGAGGACCAGGTTGAACTTTTTTGGATTTTTCTACCTGGATTATTGAGCATGCATCAGGATAGAGACAGATTCTTTCCTCATCTCTTTATTTAAAGAGTCTGGATTGTTAATTTCCATATCAATGCCCTGGATGGTTGGAGACCAGTGATGCCTCATCTTGGAAAAAATCCTGAACTTTAAACTGTTAGATTATGATTCATTCATTAAAATTATTCAATGGACGTTTCTTATATGGAAAAAAAAAGCTTTTAAATGTGAATAATACTTTTCAATGCTATAAGGAAGGCAACATTTTTTTTCAGTGTACTACATCATCTTAGCATTTTCAGCTTAAGAGTCGTACCTTCCAGCCTTGTCTACAGTTAGGATACAAGCCAAAATTTTACATGAAGGTATATCAGCCTTTACTTTCAACGTGTACTCTTTACTTGAAGTCATAGCAAAATGTCAATGTCGTTGGCTGAAGTCTTGTTGCAGGCAGGGGCCCAGGCAGCTGCAGTCTCAGTCTCAGTCTCGTTGCCAGCAGGGGCCCAGGCGGCCGCAGCCTCAGCCACAGTCCTGTTGCCAGCAGGGGTCCAGGCGGCCGCAGCCTCAGCCACAGTCCTGTTGCCAGCAGGGG